CCCCCTCCCCCTACAGCGGTGCAACCTGAAACTGCCTGAAGAGATGAGCCGTCATTAAATACTGCAGAGCTGACATAATGACAGGAAAGATAAAAGGGAGGAAACAAAAAAAAAAAAAAAGGCCAGACCAATTCTCGTCCCATAATGCCTCCCCCAACCCCCTGGCTCAGCCTTCACTCTATAATAAAAGACACCAGGCCACAGATAGGACACTGGTCAGCAACAACTTTGCTGCTATGATCTTCAGCTCTAACAATGCCGAGACAAAGCCTGCTCATCCCTGCAAATAATACTCATCCACTCATTCTGACACCTTGACATCTGGAACTAAAACACATCCCACACAATGCAGGAAAGCCCAATTTTATACATATATTCAGAAACAGAAACTATATAGTCATCATTTGTCACATGTTTGATTTGTCACATGACAATCATACTTTGATATGCCTGTTAGTCACGTCCAGAAATAGTCGTTTAATTTAATTTAATAAAATATATAATCTAATGAACACTTCTAACTGTTCAGATTAATGCAGCACTTGATGCCAGAGGCATATTCTGAAACAAGCTCATACCTGCTTATCTTAGCAGATTAGCTTGCAAATTAAGCAAAGATTCTCCTAGTGACTAATTTGTTAATGAAATGCGAGTAGAAAGTTTTACAAATTGGCAAGTCTAAAATCAAAAACACTAAGAAAACCTTTGAAAATTTGAAAAAACACAATTTTTAAGAATAGACGTTAAAGGTCTTTCGTAGAAATACTCTAGTATTTAAAAGACTTTTGAAGCTGCTAAAACATTTTAAATGCTGCTGACTTAGCCCCATGTGTAACAGCGTAGTTTGCCGAGAGTGGCTAATGCTAGTTTTGCTATACCAGTAGCTTTTTAAAAAAAGAAATTAAAAAAAAAAAACTTCACATGCTTGTCCAGAGTTGATGTTGACAAAGTCTACATATAACGATTAGTTTTCTAAAATAACTGCACGAGAAGTGCAACTGTTTGCGGGGCCGTTCAACTGTGTTATTTTAACTTTGCTTGCTTACAAATTTCCATTGTCGCCTCCAGGGGATGAAATCTCAGACCCAACAGTTAACTGCCTTTGTATATTAATGAAGTAAAAACAGTTTTTACCAACTTTTTAAAAAATTGATCTAGTTGACTAATTGCACACATACCTGGTTTCATTCAGAGTAGAATCAATGAGAGTGTCTGTAAGGGTAAAATTATCCTGATAAGAACAGGAACAGGAATGTGTTTCTGTGTACAGATTCTGTATATGACTATGCAGAATCTATAGGCAATGGGCATAAGAAAAAAAAACAGGCTTTCTGGTTTTCTTTCATAATGAAAGTATCACTGACCAATCACATTTGAGCGAGCATATGGCTCGATGCACACAAGCGGTCCATGGGAAGAGCAAGAGAGGAAGACATTGTCCAATCTGAAAACAATCAGCTATTAGCTTCTTGGAAATGTACCCCTTAGCCCGGATACCAGAACAATGGCCATTAAACCCACAGGCTACCTTCATCTGATGACAGTCAATGGTGTCTCATGCTGGCATGACATGGAAATTAACCCGAAAGAAAATAAGGCTGCTGGTGTTGACACTGCCAATGACATCTACTGCCAAGTTTTGCACATTTCAGCAGCACTTAAAATAATAAATATTGAAGAACATAAGAAAGACAGTTTCATTTATTCTCCATTTAAACACTCCCAGCAGCATCCCTTCAATAAAGTGTGAAGATTCATGTGAAGCCGGTGACTTTAGCAAATGAACAATATAAACAACGTTGTGCCTCCTTCCACAACATGTATATACTGGCTTCTCTCACCATCTCACGCTGTGGCACTTCTACGTGTCACTACCAAATGTACACGCTCTAAAGCTAAATTTGGAAATGTGAACTAGAGAAGCACCATGCAAAGACATTTACCTTTAAATAGACAGTAATAAAATCCCGACACATGATAGTCCAGCACCCTCAGCCCACTGATAGAGCACAGATATATTTGCGACACTGCCAACTACTGCACAGCTAAGGCTTTTTATATCACCCGCAGCCTGCTGCGCTCTCTTTAACCTGCCATGATGCTAAAACATGCAGCTCGGCTTGGTTCCCAGCTGGCATTCCAGAGTTCAGTAAGACTGTGCTGAGGCAATATTTACTATCAAGTGAAAGTAGCCTACACTTGGCACAGAGCCCTGACTCTTGGGGAGGCGAGAGTGGGGTGTGACAGACTGCTTCTGCTGTGTACTACATCCAACCTTTCCACCCACCCGAAATCCTCCAACTGACCCAGCAAACCACCCACAGCCTTACAGCAGCTATGTCTCGCCTGACTCCACTACCTGGATCAGAGCCAAACCAGAGCCCAAGCAAAGCGCCAAGAGGGACACAGAGTGAGAGAGGCATACAAAATGAGAGCGCGTGGGGAGAGAACTAGTGAGCGTGAAAACATTGCGCCTTGGCCTGGCCCTCTGCCAGCAGTCACTTAGTAGTTTTTTTTTGGGTTTTTTTGCCACAAAAGCCAATCGGCGGTCAAACCTCCGCAGAGATTTGAAGGGACTCACAAAGATACTCCTGGAGCGGTTCAAGCCACAGTTAAGATTAAGTTGTCTCTCACGGCAGGGGGCTGGACTTAGAATACAAACAAGACCCTAAATGGAAAACTGACAAGCAGTATAAGGACATACTCATTGGGATCTCAGTAAACTATAGTGACAATTTAAATTATAAAAAAAACAAAACAAAACAAAATTCTGCCTTGATTTGCAATATTTAAGGAAAGATGGACAATTTTAAATTCTGAAGTTTTATACTCACATTTGAATGAGATAACTGTGAAAGGACATAATAGGATCAGATGGATTACAAAGGAAATCCTGTGGAAAGAAGGGCAACAACTGGCAAGATACTAACCTGTCTAAAGTGGTCATCAAAGCCCCAGTCAGCTTGTCCATTAGGAGAAGTAGCAGAGTGTGCCCCTGCAGGAGACAGGCCCTCGTCAGGTTCCTGCTTCACTCTAACAGGTGGGGAAGCAGCCCTCTGGGGAGCCGATGCAGAGTAACTGCCAAATGGACGGGCTGGGATTCGCGAGGCATTCTGCTGTAAAGCAAGGGTTTGCTTGCGGAGGAACTCCAGACCACTGGCGCTTCCCTCATCATCATCGCTGCCCTCATCCCCTTCCATCATCTCATTGTCATCGTCCTCATCTCCAGAATCCCGACCTCTGTCCTCGTCATCCTCTCTGTCTGAGTCTACACTGCTCTGATTGGACACCCGGGGAGGCAATCCACCACCAGCGATGCCTCCAGGCAGGCCTTTCCCCATGAAGCTGGCTCCAGAAGCCCGGGCAGCTGCTAAGATGGCCTGTTGGGCAGCAACCTGCTGAGCGTACATGATGTGGGCTTCTCGTATCTTTCTCTCCTTGCGCTCCATTTCTAATCGTGCCTGCTGCTGGCGCTGGAGCTGCTCCATCACTGCTTCGAGTTTCATTCCTCCTGCGGAGGTGCTTGGAGGAAAGGCCACACCAGGCTCCTGAGACATTCCGGGCTGTGAGAGGAAGAGAGGAGTCATGGATGACTTACTGTATACTGAAACCTAATTACTCCTGAAAGCTACAGTGGAGCCAACGAAGCCCGATTTAAACATTAACTCAAACAAATTTGGATAATTCACCCACATGATTTTCCTCAGATTAAAGAAGTAACACGCTTGTGTACTTTTAAACCTACAATATCCCAACAACAAATTTAAATTATTTTAAGCCAAATAAAGAAATTGAAAAAAATTTACAAAAATCTCGCTGGTAACTGGAGCTCTTAAAACCTGAGCATGAATAAAAGCAGAAAAAAATACTAGACTAGAAAGTAGCCAAATCAAACTTTTACACAAAGGACTAATCTACATAAAGAGTTTGGAAAGTAAACATTACAGTAACCAGCCACAGAAAAATCTCTGTTAAGATTAGAGGAAATAATTAAAATGCAGTAACCCACCCTGAGTTTTGCTAAGCTCTTAAGGAAGTATTGCAAAAATTTGTCAAAACGACAACGCAGTAAGAGGTGTGTATTAGTAAGAAAGTTAAACGGATATTCATGTATCTACAATCATAAAAGTAGTTATCCAGATAAACTAGATTAACTACTAGTTTAACTAAACTAGATAAACAACCATCAAAGTGAAAAAAAGAGAAGAAAAAAAAACTGGCAAAACACATTTTCCGCGTTTATATAGTGAGGTGCCACAACCTCAAACCTGGATACGATTTCAGGATACTCCCAACAAATGCAAAATATGCAACAACGCTTTAGGGAAAAATGAATAAAGTTATTACAGTGTTGTCGAAAAACTATCAAATGAATAAATAAAAGTAACCTACCAAAAGTCAGATTACCCCTAAAAAGTTTTTTTCTTTGAATTTGACAACGTTGAACGAGCCAATACCGTAAAATAAAAAAAAAACAATCGGAGCGTTTTCAGCTCGCTGCCGTTTAGGAAAGTGCAAAAGGGCGAGAAGCAGAACCCCGACTCACCATTTGTGCCTTACTACTGCTTGAATTGTCCACCATCCCTCCTTCCTTCCTTGGCGTTTTCCTCCCTTCTTCTTTTGGCAGTCGTTCAAACACTTGTAAACACACGCACACACACACGCGCGCGCGCGCACGGGGGGGTTGGGGGAGAGAGACTCCGAGCGTACACCGCAGATTCCGACTGATCCGCCGGCAGAAAGCCGCTGAACGCTGTTTTTCTGGGTGACCTCTTCAAATGCGTGTGCGTCTCTTTCTTTCTTTTTTTTTTTGCCCCGTGATTTTCGGGGTTTTCTTCTTTAATAAAAAAGTGCACCGACTGGAAAACGGCCAGATCTCATATCTCGGAAAGCGCTGAGGTAACTCCCAGTCGGTTTTTTTCCTCGCCTTCAATTGACACCCCCAGCATGGCGCACTACAGCGTTAGGCCCGCCCAGCGACAGCAACAAGTATCAGCCCTTTTCAGTTCACCACTTTTATTAAGCTCGTTTACCTGTAATGTGTTAATTCCGATTCTTCGCATAAGATCAACTAAAAACTCGAACCAAATTGGTATATTTTCAGAAGGTATTGAACTGATTTTAAAGTGCCAAATGCAGGCACAATATATGAAAATGTAAGCACAAGTAGATGTGGATGTTGTCAGTTACAAATGGATAGTTTTAAAGCTTGAAATTGATCTTTCTGCACATGGATATTGGTCTCTCAATAGGTAGACGGTTAGTAAGTCGGCCCGTTTAAAGAAAACAACCTGTTCTATTAATTTTTAAAATAAAACACGAACCATTATTAAGCAAGGTTTAAAATAATTCTACAAAAAGTTAATGGGACAGGGCTGTGCTGAGGTTGAAGCGCAGCATAATCATTAAATTGCAGTGTGGCTCCCTGCTACCCCCTTGAGGAAACCACAGACAGTGTATGGTTCATGCTGCTTAGCTCGTAAACTGATCCGAGGCCATTACAGTTAACTAAAACTAAACTAAGAACTAAAACGTGTTGGGGGAAATTTTATAGTAAACTGAAATAAAAAAAAAATAGACTTTATATAAAGTAACCAAAAACTATATATAAACAATATTACTTTTATTCTTTATCATTTTGGTCACAAGGCTTTGGTGCTTAAGTGTTTTGAAACTGAGATATGTAGATGGCTGTTGGTTCGGTGTTTGTGTTGTACATTAATTCCTCTGAACCCTGACGAATACCCACTTCTTTAACTTTCAAAAAACTTTCTTTCCATGGTAGTCCCTTAGACGAAAATGACCTAGGTGATTGAGAACCCACACAGAAGTTCAGTGAATTTCAGTGTGGTACTGTGACAGGATGCCACTTGTGCAGCAAGTCCAGTTGTGAAATTTTCTCACTACTAAATATTTACCCTACTACTACAGTAGCAGGGTCAGCGGACTTTTGCTACAGACCTCTAAACTTCATGTGGCCTTCAGATTAGCTCAAGAACAGTGTGTAGAGAGCTTACGGTAATGAAATAGGTTTTTGTAGCTGAACAACTGCGTTTAAACCTCACACCACCAAAAAATCAGGTGCAGTTATGTAAAGCACGCCACCACCGGACTCTAGAGCAGTCGAAACCTGTTCTCTAGACAGAAAATCATCTGGAAATCCAAAGAATGACTCTGGGTTTGGTGGTTGGCAGGAGAACGGTACTTGTGTGACTTCACTGTGCAAAATGTAAAGTTTGGTGGAGTGGGGATTATTGTATGGTGTTGATTTGAAAGAGTTTGGCTCACCCCCTTAGTTCCAGTGAAATGAACTGTTGATACTATAGCATTCCAAGGCATTTTGGACAATTTCCTTCCTGTTCCAACATGACTACACACCAGTGCACAAAGCAAGGTCCATAAAGACATGGATGAGCGAGTTTGGTGTGGAAGAACTTAACTGGCCGACACAGAGTGCTGATAGAAGTGCCGATAGAACACCTCTGGGATGAATCGGATTGAAGACTACGAGCCGGGCGTTCTTGCCCAACATCAGTGTCTGATCTTACAAATGCGGTTCTGGAAGAATGGACAAAAATTCCCATAAACACACTCCTAAAACTTGTGGAAAGCTTTCTAGAAGAGTTGAAGCTGTTATAGCTGCACAGGGTGGGCTGATAACCATATTAAAGAGTGCTAAACGCTGTGTCTCTGGCCCAACATACATTTCATTATTCTGAAAACAGTGAATTATGTTTGCATCATGCAGTAGAAATTTGTATGTGCTGGATCCCCTTGGGCTTTGTGTCTTTCCTTTGTCTCTTGTGAAGATAGCTGAGGAAAGTAATGAAAACAAAAGTGCTGAATGAAAGTAAAAACGAGTGAAAACTACAACAACTGCAGTAGTCAGCTGTGTCAGTGAAGACACAGATAGGTGCAGTCTGTAATACTGAATATCTCCTGACAGCAGTGGTTCTGAAACTGTGAGGGGTTGGGTGGGTCCCCACTGGTGGGGCACAGACAAGTTGGAGAAAAATATGAAGTGAAACTAATATAAATAAGGATGGGGAGGGCTGTTAGGGGAAAAAAACAAATTAGGCTATTGATGCTGTTGTGCTGATTATTATTAAAGTAACATCTAACGTGGATTTTTTTATTTTAATTACTGATTGATGAAAACTGTGATCAAAATGTGCGCGTCCTCTGAGATGTTCCAGGTGTCACTGACAGTTTCAGGTGTGTTTGCAGTTTTTTTTACCTAAAAGAAATGGCAGCAAAACACAGAAGAACTCTGTGCTATTCTGGTGAATGTTCTGCTATGAAACGTAACATTCATGTAAATGTAAATGTAGCTAAACACTAAAAGAAAGAACAAAATGTATTCTGATAGAGCAACAATGGTTCAGTAGCATAAAATCTTTGAGGGACATGACAAAAGGTTGTTCTACAAATTCCCCAAATCTTATTTTGACTGAGAGTCTGTGGGATGTCCAATCCATAAAGGTCCAGGACTCAAAAAAAATCCAGGATTTAAAGCTGCAAATGTCTACGTGCCTGATATCACAGGAAACCTTGAGAAGTTTTAAAGAGTTCATGAGTTTTAATATCTTGAAAATCCACATAGTAGCAGGCAAGTGGTTACTACCCATTTACCAAAGAACAACTAATAATAGCTAATCAAAAATAAGACACATAAGCATAATCAACTGATTTTTATTTTTTAATGTAAACCAATTAACAATACAATTCAAATAAAAAGATTAGCATTTACCATCATAAAAAAAAACAACCTGTTATTGCATTTTGCACGCAACAACACTATCTCATCACAGGGATGTACACCATACAGATTGTCCCAATAGTTGCATAGTACAGGTGAGTCAAGTGTACTTGCTACTGACCACTGGTGTTAAGTGCAAAATTGTATGTACATAAGAACGTGCAGAGCCAGGGCCGGCGTCAATACACTATAAATTCAGCTGGTCCATTATAAAGCATTTAGTTCACACCTGTATCGAGTAACTCACACTTAAGTGTTATAGTAGAATCAGCTTTTATTCCTTAAACAACCACATTACAACCAAGTAGTGCTGGGAGGAGATGGTGTGCGTGACAAATACTAGTAAGGTAAGATTTTCTAACACCTTACAGTGCAAAGGTGTAAGGGGAAAAAAGGAACTGATTCCAACTTTGTAAAGTACAAACCAAGGTTCCTACTTTGTCATTGCACAAAAATGTCACTTTTCCAGTCCTCAATTTGTTATGTTGATCAAGTGGTATGCTATATCATTTATTCACACCACTGAGAGTTAACATCACAGCAAAGGAAGTAACAGAGTGGCCAGTATCTCAGTAAAAATAGCAGCCACATGTCCTCCCTGCACTTGACTCGTTGTGCAGTTTCCTAATTTCTATTTCGTGAATGTAAGTGGAAAACCAAATCATTTCTATTTATGATCATACACCCACCCATCCATCCATCACTCACGCATGCACACACATACACACAAATAAATCTCCTGAGAAGTGATCACTACCACTTACTCTGACATTTAACATCTTTTCCTTTTACTACGGTTTCAAACAGTTAACAGTAAAATATCACCCAGGCTGTAGCATGTCAGTGAACACATACATTTTTAAAAGTGGAAAAAGAAAAATTGTCTTCCAGTTTAATTTTTTTCAGTACATAAGTGTGTCCATTATGTAGGCATCAGCAACACATAACACAGAAAATGAGGCCAACATATAGTATAAGCTTAATAAAATAACATAAGGCTGGACTAAAAGTTTGATTCTAATGGTGATCTGCTGTCATGTTATCGTGTCACAATAGTTAGTGTCTTCAACAAATAATGACAAATATATATATATATATAAATAAAATAAAGTAACTCTTAGTTGAATCATACCCTGAATGAGGCTCTAAACCAAAATGCTACATATCCATCTTTGAACACAAAAGTTTTTAACATAAATCCATATTTGAATTTTTCTCAACCACACCATGTTACTTAATGCATATCGAATAAAAAAAAACTGAAATGCAAATGTCACATAATGACTTCTATGAAGTCCAAATGTAGTTAAATGTCATGTGTTCTTCTATCAAAGCACTTTATTCCATCTGCTCACAGCTGTGCCTTAAACAGCAGTGTGGCATTTGCCAACTAGAATACTAGTATGCTTCACTTTCTCCTTATCCAATCCTGTCCAATGACCTTTTTTTTGTTTTTTTGTTTTTTAAGGAGATGATGGCTTAGTCCTCCTCGGTTTGTCGCAGTTTTCTCAATTACAACTTGTAAAACGTAGTGACCTTTTATAGTGATTATTTGTGTTATTAATGAGTCCACTTAAAAACTATATTTTTCAGATTGTAAGTAGTTATTTTTGTTGAGACATGACTATTTATGTGGTGGCCATTTCATTTAGGAATAAAACTCAAATGTAATTTTAAAGAAAAAAAAAAGTTAATACTTCAGTGATCTGGGAATGTCATTGATAAAACAAGGTGCAATTACTTCATGTAGCTGTTGGTTGATAACTGGGTAATGCAGATTCACCAAAGAGCTGAAACAGTAAGACTGTATAGCATATCTGTATGCATGTCATGCTTAGAGGGTTGCACAAGTAACTGCCTGATTACAAAAGACAGTAACCAGTTCATCCTTGGGTTAACAAGGGCATCATCCTAAATGTTGAATTAATCTGTTAGGAGCAGTAGTGTAGTTAGCATTTCACACAGTCCTATTTTTTTTTTAAGAAACAAAAGAAAAAAAGAATAAATAAAAAAATAGGTCAAGCTTTGGGGTCACAGTGGATAAGGCTTGTTCTCACGTCCACCTGCATTTTCAAAGGGGGTTGAGCAATCTCAGTGCACGCAGTCCTGCATGAAGAGGTGTTTGGCTTTAGAGCTGGAAGTCCTCTAGCAGTGCAGCAGTGGAGCTGCGTGACAAAGAAGGCGTCAGGCACCAGTCATTAAAGTAAGCTGAAGCAGGAGCCAAGACTTTGTTAGATTTGAGTCACTGCACTGACATCACTGTATGGGGCAGGACGGGCCCTCAGAGCAGCAGCAC